CAATTTCCAACTTTCACACTGATATCTCAGGTACTAATCATCACATATCAATGAATGTTTATACATGGATGCTGTAGGACAATAGACAGACCTGGATAATTTTGGGTTAAAATCTGTACATATTAATTACCCAATTTGCATAATTAACCAATTTTAAGCTTTCACACTGATATCTAAAGTACTAATTTCCATTTTAATGAAACTTAGTTCAAAGATGCTCTAGGACAATGTACAAACCTAATTAGTTTGGGGTAAAACTCTGTTCATATTATTTCCCTAATTAGCATAATAATTCATAATTTTTTGGTTCTAATCACATTTCAATTAAACTTGGTACATAGAGTTTTTGTTACATTGCGCAGACCTCATTAGTTTTACAATCAAATCTGTTCATGTTATTTTCTGATTTGCATAATTAGTTTTCAGCTAAGTAATTTCAAATTATATTTAATGTGTCTCCAATACTCTCAGCACATGGGAGTTCTTTCTAAGCTTTCTTTGGTTGGTGGGTGGGATTACTGGTAGATGCAGTGAATAAAACTACAAGATTGTACATTAACGGGTGATTTGTACTCATTAATATTTGTAAACTTAACATCGGTAATTGACATGGAACATGTTATTAACAATTCATGACCAGTGCTTTTAATAAAGTTCTCCTCTGAGAACATTCATGAAGCCTTATTATCACATAGTATCAAGGCCATAGCAAAGTTTCATGAATGCCCTCAGATCCAGAAAGAATTACATGTAGAGATGGTTGTGTGTTTTGGGATTATTGTGTGACATGTATTTGATGGTATGAAAAGCCTTAAGGACTTGCCGTTTACTACAGGAAGCATAAATTTATGAAATACCAATGTTTGTGCATTTTGATGTTTCATATACTGTAAAATGACTAATTTTCACTGGGTCTAAATTTCACTGATTTACCATTTCAGGCATATTCAGTGGGTTTTAAATTCACTGTTTCGTCATTTAGATAATGTGTTTTATGCTAAATTTTACATATTCACTGTGTTTTAATTTAGCGCATTTTTCCAGTCAGCGAAATAAGCTAAATTAAAACCCAGTGAATAATTACCCCCTTTACAGTATATTCCCTGCAGTTCATTTCTACCATCAATTTATATCACATTGCAAACACCAATAAACATAAAACTACACGTCTCTAAGTTTTCAAGACTAGAATGGTGGTCTAATATATTAAATAATTTTTCATATATGTGCAATATAGAATAAACCACTAGTATAAGATTTAAATGTATTAATAAAGGTACCTACATGTAGATTTTGAATTACACTTTTTTTCTCAAAGAAACATTGATAAGCATTGGAAAATTACATAATCCTATTTTCCTGAACATTCTTTGCACATAAGTGTTACAATAATTTGAGAAATGCAGTTACCCTAAACATTTTTGCAAGTGTTAACAATGATTCGAGACATGCAGTTACATTAAAATCGCAGTAACTTTGTTAAAAAATATTTAATTAAAATCCCAATAATAAGTCAAATTTATTTAAACATTTCATTTCACCCCTGTAGGCATTTGGTCAGCAATTGATAAAAAAAAAAGTGCAATAATGTATAAAATTTAGAAAAATTGTTGGCTTTGATAATTAATGCAATTGTATATACCGGGGAATGTAAATTTTCAAGACTACAACCAGACAGGTTTTAAATAATCACTGTTTTTATTCTCTTGCTAGGTGGTGCTTATTACATGATATCTAGAAGTTTAGGACCAGAATTTGGTGGTGCTATCGGTTTAATATTTTCAATGGCAAATGCTGTTGCTATAGCAATGTATGTTGTTGGCTTTGCTGAGACTGTGAAAGATCTATTGAAGGTGAGCATTATTCGATTTGCCAACAAGTTATTTTCATCATATTGATTAAAGTGTACTGCAAAGCTACAGTAAAGCTGTCATGCATCAAGCAAACTTCCTGGGAAATTTGTGATTTGTGTCTCACCATGCTTCATGCAATACTTAGGCTTGTAGATACTCGGTGAATATTTTTGTCATTTTTGGTGAAAAGTGATATTTTTGACTTCTTGTTAAAAACCGCAAGTCCGATTGCTTTGATATTACATATATAAATACTACATGTGGACCTCTCTCAGATTTGTTCATTTTGTGATGATATCTTTAATTCTCTAATTTTGATGAATATTTGGGTAATTTTTGGTAAAAAGTGATATTTTCTAATTTGTGATTTGTGTCTCATTATGTATTAAGCTGCTTCATTTAATACTTAGGCTTGTAGATACTTGTGCTTTACACTGTATGTGTTGCTTTATGTTTTATATTTTGTAATCCTAACCAGTTAGCTGTAGAAATCCAACTATCTATATTAAGCCTGTATCATATATTTTATTGGAACGCTGTCATAAATTTACTGTAATATACTGTATTACCATACTTGTCCAACTTAACGCCCAGGGCTCACAGAATCATGGTTTTTAGGGGGGGGGGGCATTTTTGTTGACTATTCACCAAGTGCCAGATCTTTGGAATAGTATTTCTTTTTTGGTGGAAGTAAAATTGCGAAATGAGTTGCATCATCATTGATTTTCACAACAATGACGAAACAGAAATGATCACAAAAAATATGCATGTTTTATTAGTCCCCGTTCGGACGCAGTCCGAAAACGGGGACTTATGTTTTGCCCTGTGTGCGTCCGTGCGTCCGTGCGTCCGTGATCACCTGTATCTCGAACATGCATGGACTGATTAAGTTCAAACTTCACTCATACATCACACATTATATGGGACATATGCACATGCATTTTTTTCATGATCCGATTAACGATAGCCGAATAGCGGCCATTTTAAGGCCGAAAATGCATCAAAATCGCACATTTTCACCATTCCGGACCCGGATCTCAGTTATGCATGGACGGATTTTGTTCAAATTTGGTACATACATTAAACATAATAGGACCTTGATGCACGTCATTTTTTTTTTTGGATCGGGTTCGAAATGGCCGACTGGCGGCCATTTTGTTTTAAAGAATTCAGTTCTGGATCCGTATCTGAGACATGCTTGGATTGATTGAGTTCAAACTTCACACACACAAGGTACATCATGTCACAAATATGTATGTGCATTTGTTTCATGATCTCATTAACGATAGCCAAATGGCGGCCGCTTTAAGGCCGAAAATG